CTGAATCTGCGAGCCTTGTTTCCTCAGGTAGGTCGTCGTGTAAACATTAGTGTCAAGTTCAGGGTTTCTCTTGAGGCGGTACGATAAAGACTGAACATTACTTTAAAGCTGTGAGCCTCGTATTCAAACTTGATGTTCCTCCAGGACGGAGCCTCCACTTCCTCAGCGTTCCCCGGTACCAGCGCACAGAGCAGCGGCGCCTCATCGAGCTCAGCGGTAAGTTTTCATGATGCACACCTTCAACATGCAGGTGTTTTCTTTTTTTAATATGTCTGTGCTGTTTTGTCTGTTCAGAAATGATTCCCTGGTTAGTATATTGTACATTTTGCTGTTTTTCTAGACTAACAGCGCATCAGAAAACGGACCCACTTCCTCCAGTAAACAAAGCTCCACCGCTCCGGTCTCTGACATCTCCCACCTGGTCAGAAAGAAGGTAAGAGAGCAACGTATTGTCATAACAGATCTGAGGCTACGCTTCAGTTCAGTGTCGTTCCAATGATCCTGGTCGCTGTGTTTCAGAGGAAACAAGAGGACAGTCCGGTGAAGGAGGACGCTAAGAAGGCGAAGCAGGATGACGCTCAGACGGATGAAGTGCAGGAAGCTCACACCAACGGTGCACACAAAGACACCAACGGTGCACACAAAGACACCAACGGTGCTCACAAAGACACCAATGGTGCTCACAAAGACACCAATGGTGCTCACAAAGACACAAACGGTGCACACAAAGACACCAACGGTGCTCACAAAGACAACGAAGACGCTAACGGGGAAACTAAAAGCATGGAAGACGAGGGGTAAGAGGCTTTAAGATCTGAATAAATGGACTCTTGTTGGAGTGTTTGCGTCTAACTCGTCTTGTGTCTTTCAGTCAGTGAAGCCAGACTGCTGCCTCGGTTCCAGGAAGGATCCACCAACGTGCCAAGCTCCTATTCCAACAAGCTCCTGCTTGCTGTTGTAAATATGTGTATCTTTTTCTATGCCTGTTCGTTTGTACATGTATGTGACCTATAACATTGAATAAAGACTATTGGATAAACCTTGTTGTTTGAGAAGACTTGATTATGAAAGTCAGCAGGGGAGAAACTCTGATGACCACTTGCAGGTCTTCAGGTGTCGCTGGGCATCTGGATCTGGTGTTAATCATCCATCCATCATCTCTACACCTTAATCCTCATTAGGGTGGTGGGGCGCTGGAGCCTATCCCAGCTGACTCAGGGTGAAGGCAGGTTCACCTGGACAGGTCACCAGTCTATCACAGGGCTCCACTTAGAGACAGACAACCAAGCACACTCACATTCACACCTACGGACAATTTAGAGTCACCATTAACCTCAACATGTTTCTGGACTGTGTGGGAGGAAGCCGGAGAACCCAGAGAGAACCCACGCTGCACGGGGAGAACATGGAGACTCCACGCAGAAAGATCCCAGGTGTCCTCACCGGGACACCAACCAGCGACCTTCTAGCTGCGAGGCGACAGTGCTACCACCTTGCAGCCCCAATTAGGAAATAATTTACTAATATTTCAGATTATACCTCTTAATTTAAGAAGCCGAGGTGAAGCTGTAGTTCATTCTGGGTCATACATGTGTTTAGAGTTTGGTATCTGTGCTGTGAATCTGTGTAGTAGTGATGTTTGATAAAGCATGTGTAAATCTGTTGAACCACCTGAATACAATCACTGGATCAACTCAATAACCTGAAGCACATCTGTGTGACTGTGCATGAAACCTGTATTAGTGGAAATGTGACAAACAGCTGGAGGAGGGTGAGATGCTGCTGTGGAAGGGCAGAAGGAGACTCGCATAAGAAAGCAGCTGCGTCAGGAGGACACTGATAGAATTTGCCAGAATCGGAGACCTTGACAGTGTCTTTTCTTTTAAAGGCTCTGATCAGGAGATGTTCCAGCTGAGGGTGGAGGCAACCTCAGAGCTGGGTTTCCAGCCCGAGTGTAGGATTTCAACAGCAGAAAGGAGGGCAGTCCGATACAGGAGGAGCCCCTACAGTGAATAAAAACAGGGTCCCCAGGGAAGAGTGGTCACTTCAGGCCCGGGAAGTTTTTGCACCATTATGTTTACTGCTTATTTCTAAGGATCTGTGTTGAGCCTGTGGACAAACTTTCCAGGCTCTTTTTGACTTGATCCTAGTGGGACTTTTTGCCACTTTAGAGCCTCCAGAGTCGCAGCTTTGTAACACGGCCCGTGACCTCTTCAGGGTCCAAACCGGATTCATGCCTCAACAACTGATCGATCGCCTCAACGAGCTGAGGACCAACGAGAACCACAGGATCGGTGCTCTGGACACCTTGAGGTTATTGAAACAGATGGAGGAGGAAAATCTCCTTGACCAAACAACTGGCTCTGCACAATAAAGCGGCAGAGAAAACGGTCAAGGCTGATTTCTATGATCGGCTGTATGAGCTGCACGGACCAACACTGAGGACCAACATGCTTCACCTCAGCACCCATGAACTTTATCACGGTGTGTATTGGACCCTGTTTAAGCTTTCAACATCATAATATGACTCATAACTTGCTGGGGTGACCCTATCTGGTCCCAGACACCTGGTCCACCATCCCAAAATAAATCCTGCTGAGTTTGGTGTTGCTGTTTGAAGCCTCTACTGTACTGCACTGTGATGGCCAACGACACAAAGCCAGTGATGTTTCAGGGTGTGGTTTCTGGTTCCCTCCTGCTGCCAGCCTGTTCTGCTCACCTGTGACTCGTTCACTAATCAGAAGCCTGCAGCAGATAAAACCTGCCGGCTCTTAGCTCCGGGGGCCACATAGTTCAGATAAACCGTCAGTTTGTTTGGTGAGCATGTTTGTTGACCCCTTTTTAGGCCTAGAAATTAATTTTAAATTGTAGTATTTTGCAACTTATTTGTGAATAAAGCCCTGTTTTTCACTCCTGGCTTCCTTTTGCCTCCCTTATGTGCACATTATAGGAGTAGAGCTGATTGTGTTCATATCAGGGATTCAGTATTATCATAATCATGATATAAACGTGTGCTGTTTTGACTACACTTCTTATGAATGCAGTCGTCCACTATCCTACACACCTGCATGTGCACTGGATTGTGCACACAGTGACTTAAATCACTGGATCAACTAAATAACCAGAAATATATCTGCGTGATTGTGCATGAAACCTGTATTACTGGAAATATAATATTTAAAAACAGAACTGGAGAAGGGCAGGATTACTCAGTGTCCTTTTAGCGAACTCTCCTGACAAACTGCGCCGGCTGTTTCCAGATGATCCTAGCTGGACTTTTTTTTTTTGCCACCTAAAACATAAATATGAAAGCACGGTTAATGGTATTACGTAACGCCTAAGACTTTTCCTGCTTTAAAAAAAATCTGCTGCAAAAACCGCGTGAGCACATCTGACATTTAAAATTCCATCTAACAGGTTTGAGCTCTGGAGGGGACACGTCCTCCAGATCCTATCAAATGCTTCATCTTCTGCATTCTGGTGATTTCTTTGAATGCACCAATTTGTGCTTTCTGCGTGTAAAAGTCTTTCTTTTACGCTGTCTTTAGGGGAGGAGGAGGAACAAATGCATGTGAGATCTAACCATGTACCATATGGGCACATGCGTCCCTGAGCAGCAGGTCTCAGGCTCACGTCCAAGCTGGACCATAGAATACATGTTCCCTCTGCTGGGTTCCTCTCTCTTCTCTGTACTGTCAAATAAAAGCACTTTATTTTCTAAAATATGAATCTGATAATAGCTAAAAGAAGAAGAAAAAAAACATCATAAAACAAACTTTGTCTTGTTTAAATAAAGTTGCTTTTTTTAAAAGATGTAGCCGAGAACCCCTAAATCTGAATAAATCATGTTCAACTAGACATACTTCTATCGATTAGCCACATTTTCTAAAACCTGAATCTGATGATAGCTACAAGAAAAAAAAAAAAAACATCCTAAAACTGTCCTTCAGAACATGTAAGGGGCAAATTTTCTCCAAAAACCAACTTTGTTTATCAGTTTCACAGCTTGTGCATCTCCACGTGTATTTGTTCTACAGCATTACTTCACATTAAGACTCTTTTCAGGACAAAATGTATTAAACCGATCAGATTTCATTTCAAAATTAAAGCTACAAACCCACTGGGAGCAAATACGTAGCCGCTAGGTTCATAATATCTTGCCGCTCCAGATAATCGAGAAGCAAAACGAGACTAAAAAACACCACAGTAGGCGGGTTCATATTGAAACATATCAGCTTGTCAGGAACCAATTTTTATTAATATCATTAATAATGTGTCATCAGCATCATCAATGAAATGAGTTAGTCTGTTTAAAGCAGAATCAAGTGTGCATTCATTGCCCTTCTTTTCTTGATGAACACTTCAGTTCCACAAAGCGAGGAAGAAAAAGGAAGGGGGGGGGCAGAAGGAGGAGGAGGACGAGGAGGAGGAGGAGGAAGAGGGGAGGAGGAGGAAGAGGAGGGTCAAACAGGGCTAAGGACTGCAGTGAAGGAGGAAACGTAGGGAAAACGACGTCTGGCGGAGCAGGAATCTCCCCCTTCACTGGGATATGATTGGTTTTTCCCTTGTGCAAGAACGACAACAAAAAAAAAAAAAATCAAAAAAATTCAAAATGGTGCTCTAAAAACAAAGATGAGAGAGGAAGAGGGGGGATTGCTTGCTGGGATGTGGTGTTGGCTGTTGTTGTGGTTGTTGTTTTTCTTCTTTTGTGTGTTGTTTTTTTTTTTTTTTTGTTCCATAAAGCCACGTTAGGATTTGATGCAGTCGTCGTCGTCAGAGGTCTGGCTGCTGCTACTGGTTTCGGACTCGGAGCCCTCCTCGACATGCGCCTCCGCCACACTCCTCCAGGGGGTGAAGTGGAGGGTCACACCCCGCGTCCTCGGGAGAACCCCGTTTCTTTGCATGCCGTTCCTCTTCAGCTGCACACAGACGGGGCGGAAACGGAGGCGCAGTTTAATCATTTTCTCATCCCTCGCACCAAAATATCGAGCGAGACTGCGCCTGGTTTGACTAAAAGGGTAAAAAAGAATCTATTCTGGGATTTCCTCTGAGATCTCACCTGTTCAGTTTTAGTCTGGAACTCTCTCAGCTCGTCCTCCGTCAGAGGCAGGAAGTTGTCATCGTTTTCTGGGTACTCCTGCCAGCCCATGGCCTTCAGCAACCTAGATAAGCACAGTCATTTTCTGCTTAGCTGACCGTGTGTGTGTGTGTGTGTGTGTGTGTGTGTGTGTGTGTGTGTGTCTGTGTGTGTGTGTGAGGCTGTTAGCAGCGTCCTACCTGTGCTCTGCCTCCAGGGAGCTGGACAGGTGTTCAGTGTCTGAGTCACTGAGGGAGTAGGACAGACCATTCTCATGGCAGACTTCCTCGCTGTAGGCTTTGGGCTCTGGGGTGCTGCTTTCACCCTGAGAAAAGTCAAAAACACAGTCGGAAAGTTGAATAAAATACAACAGGGCTGCAAAATACTGTAAAAAGTGACGCTGTGGAGACTTTCACTTGAATAAATCGTTCTAATATATTTGGTGTGACTTTGTAAGGAGGTGCAAACAGTTTGAACCCATATCTCTTATGATGCAGTCCGGCGGCGACCAGATCTGGCTTCAGTATCGTCACACACAGCTTTGTGCTGATTGAAGCAGTCAAACAAATCAGTTGTGTTGCCTCGTGTAGTGAACAACAATTACCAGACTGTTGCCAGAGCAGCATCAGCAGCATCTTTTCTGTAGCCGCAATATTTCCATACAACTGACCAATGCTACACGATTATCAAAAAATGATAACCATGGTTATTTAAAAAAAAAAAATCAATGTAGAGACTGACGAGCCTATTAACCCTCCTGTTATCTCGGGGCTCAACCTGACCTCATTCAGTGTTTAACATATTTTTTTCAGTTTTATTTAAAGGGCTGTTTACTAATAAACTTGGGTAAGAACTTGATTTCTGAGAATTTTTTGTAGGTTTAAAATGCTGGGGTCAAATTGAACCCAAAGATAAAAGATGTCAGTAAATTAGAAAGTATCAGGAGGGTTAAAAACAATTTTTATTCATTTTAGAAACAAAATATGAGTGAATGTATTTTTAATTGTGATTACACAGCAAATCAGCATCGAAATAAGACTTAAAATTAAATTCTTCACCTGCATTCAGTGCATCTCTCATTTATTTAATTCTTGTACTCAAAAGTCTTCCCTTGCTGAGCAGCTCCTTATCGATCAACACTGCAATTTACTGACATCCCTAAACGCCTCACATGCAGGCCGCTGTAGAAACCAGCTGAGGAGCTGCACACAGACATGCATCTGGTCTCACAGCTCCGTTTTTAAACATAAATTACTTTGAAAAAGTGAAACAACGCATTCTGAAGTTAACTTATGCAAGTTGAAACCCGGTGACTTTATGTACATGAGCTGTTTTCCACGAGCACACATTTTAAACATCAATGTCCCAGTTGATCTTAATCATTTAATTGTGAGAGGCCAAATTCATATTCCCACAACTGTGCAGTCCAACAACTGTTGCTGTGTTTCTTGTTTCTGAAAGCCCATCTTCTACTTTTTTTTGTGTTTCTCTCCAGTTCGTGGCTCATTTTGTTGTGCATGTCGAGGCTGCAACAAACTTTGTCTTGTTTAAATAAAGTTTTTTAAAAAAATAAAAAATGCATCCGAGAACCCCTAAATCTGAATAAATCATGTTCAATTAGACCAACTTCTCTTATAGATGAGCCATGAAATAGAACAATTATGTCAGTTTTCTTTTTTATATCAAGCAGCAAATAAAGTTTTTGCATCATATATTTGAGCTAATTTGCCAGAGTTTACTTTGCAGAACTATTGCACATCACAGTGTTGATGCTAAAACAACATATCATGCAGCCTTCCTATACAGCATGTTACTTCAAGGGGGATTTTTTTTTCAAAGTATAGCTCTGACTGTCCTTCAGCTGCTGACTAAAACTATGGCTCCCATTGGGACCATGACATTAAAAATGAAATCACACATGCAGAGGATAATCAGGCCACAGCTCAGCAGCGTTTCCTCTTGAAGCGAGCGTTTTCTCGTCCGTCACCACCAGAAACAACTGTGAGAAAGTCTCTGAAAACGAGCCCAATGTCTGCCCACCTCTCCTGATGTTCCCGGGCTGCTGCTTGTGGTCAGCTCTCCGGTGCCCTCGTCCTTCAGAGCTCGCAGGAACTCGCTCTTACGATCCGGGCCACGGCGCATCAGCTTCAGCCTCGACGGAGCGATATCTATGGGAGGAGTCGTGCTGGAAGGGTGCTGCAGGAGAGAAGACAGAAAGTATATTCAAAAGGCACGTCAGCAGGCATTTCATCCACCAGCTACATTATTTGGTTAAACTCCATGACTTCCTTACACAGAGGAAGGACGAGTTAATGCCACACAAGCAGTTACAGTATTAAAAAACAAGTTTACCAGTTCGCTTGCTGTGAAGTTTATATTAGCACAAAGGCTGAGTGAACTTGTTTTAAAGCTCCAGATGAGGGTAGAAAAAATCCCCAAATGTCTGTTAAAGTAATTTGTTTTAGTCTTCCGCACTCACCTCTTTCGGGGTGTTGTGCTGTGGTGCACTGACTGGGGTGCTGGGTTTGGCTGCAGAGACGGGGCTGGTGAAGACTGAATCTCGGCCTGGCATGTGAAGGCCGGACTTTGTGATCTCTCTACCGCCGGATTTCCACTGGGTGCTCTGAAAGACAAGAACATCTGTCACGAAAAGGAGCCGCTGCTTCCATCACAGCCTCACTGATCGACACAGGGCTCGT